ACATACTATGGCACACGTGGGGGTTCAAGGACAACTTTCAGGAGTTGGTTCTACCTTTCTGAAGCAGGGTCTTTTCTGGCCCGCCTTGCTGAATCGGGGTCTCCTTGTTTCTCTGCACTCCAGGCTGGCTGGTCTGCAAGCTTCCTGCCATGAGTCCCAAGGCTAGATCTGCACCACAAGCTGCATCTGGCCTTTAATCCCAGCACTTGGGAGGCAGAGGCAGGCGGATCTTTGTGAGTTCAAGGCCAGCCTGGTCTACAAGAGCTAGTTCCGGGACAAGCTCCAAAAGCTACAGAGAAACCCTGTCTCCAAAACAAACAAACAAAAAAAAAACCTGCTTGATTTAAAAAAAAAAAGATCAATGGATTCACTGAGATACAAATGAATAAACCAGGTGAGGCACAGGTAATTCCAGTTACCCAGAGGTAGTTAGGCTTCATGAGATCTCAAAAAAGCAAAAAAAAAAAAAAACCAACCAAGCAAAGGGGTAGTTACATTTCTTTCTCAGGAGGCAGAGGCAGGCAGATCTCTAAGTTTGAAGCCAGCCTGGTCTACAATCAGTGATCCCTGAGGAGAGGGAGCACCACCCTTACCCGGTAAGGGCCAATGATTAATGCAGAAAGAATGATGTGGTTAAAATGTCATTTGGTGACACTTGTCGATAAAAATTGGTTCAATGTAGATATTAGAGTGCGAGAGACCAAAGCAACCAAAGCATCCCCATGGTTACTAAGTCTCCCCAGCAGGTTACCCCAGCCATGCTCTCAGAGTTATTACCAGGTTAGAGATGAAGCCCAGGAGACAGCATGCTGGCTAAGGGTTCATGAGGCCTGTGGCACCGTATAAACTCATCCTAGAACTCCGGAGAAGGTGGAGACAGAACCCGAAGTTCAAGGTCACCATTGACTACATAGCAATGGTGTATTTGAGGTCAGTCTGGACTACATGAAATCTTGTCACAAACAAAACGAAAAGTTAGCATCAGCAAGAAGACAATATAATCCCTGACAAAAGCGGGGACATAAACTCAATATTCCTTTCATGGCCTTCAGTCAAAGTGTGTCATTCCGTGGGTCTGGCCAAGAGGAGGAAAGAACACACAAATTCAAATCAATGGATATGCTGCAAAAATGCCGTCCTGGGCCCTTCAGAAATGTCCCTGTTCAAATACAGGGTAACCTTGGAACCATTCCAGATAAAAAGGAGGGCACAAACCCAGGGACTTGGCAGAGGACAATGTTGGGGCCACTGGCAAACTCTGAGTAATGGCAAGCAGCTGGAGTACAGTTCGTGACTAGGTTCCTGGTTGTTTTGGGTGGGGTGTTGTTTTAGAGACAGGGTTTCTCTGTGTGGCCCTGGCTGTCCTGGAACTAGCTCTGTAGACCCAGCTGGCCTCGAACTCACAGAGATCCGCCTTCCTCTGCCTCCCAAGTGCTGGGATTAAAGGTGGCACCACCATCGAGCAGCAAGTTCCTGTTTTTGGCAGGTGCATTGTGGGTATAGGAAGCAGTCCTGTTTTTAGGAAGTCATCAAGTATTGAAGGGAAAAGATGATTGTGCTGGCTAGTTTTTTTTTCTGTTTTTTATTTTTTATTTTTTTTCAGTTTGACACAATCTAGAGTCATCTGAGAAGAAGGATCCCCAAATGAGAAAACGCCTCCATCAAACTGGCCTTTAGGTAGGCCTGTGGGGGATTTTCTTGATTAATGACAGATGTGGGAAGGGCCAGCCTATTGTGAGTGATGCTACTCCTGGGCAGGTGGTCCTCGGTGCTATGAGAAAGCAGGCTGAGCACCATCAGTGAGCATCACTCCCCTCTTCATCCATCCTGCATCTAGGTTTCTGCCTTGACTTCCTGCCCTGACTTCCATCAGAGACAGAGTATAATCTGTAAACCGTATACACCCGCTCTTCCACAAGTTGCTTTGATCATGGTGATTTCACAGCAACAGGGACAACTACTGTCCACAGCAACTAGGACAGTGTCTCGCCTGCCTGCAGCTTGCTTCAACAGCTCAGATGGCACAAGTGTGCATGTGTGCGTGTGTGTATGAGTGTGTGAGTATGTGTGAGAGATAGAATGTGTGTGTATAAAGGAGAGAGGGGGTGGAGTGCGGGGCACAATGGGAAAGTCCACATGAAAGGCTCTTAGAACTTCTTTACTTTTCCCTACTCTTTCCCACCCCTGGTAGTCTGAAATTAGGTCACGACTGTCAATTTTAAACAAAACGAGATACTACACAAACTATCAAAAAATTGATTTAAAACTTAAACGCGTTTTTGTCCCCCACTTGCATGGGAAAGAAATGCAAACACGCACACACACACACACACACACACACACACACACGTGCGGGGGCTGTTGGAAACTGGGGGAGGGACTTCTGGCCTCTTTCACTCTGTTTGAGTAGGCAGCCAGCCAGAGGCAAGCAGTCCTGGCTGCTTGAGTCTTGTCCACTGTAATTTCAATGCATGTCTACATCATCCCAGGGCTGTTCTCCCTTCTCATCTTCTTGTAAGGACACCTATCATCGTGGATTTAAGCCACTAGCATGGATGTAATCAAATCACATCCCCTAAGACCTGAATTGATTCTTCTTTGATCTCTCTCTCTCTCTCTCTCTCTCTCTCTCTCCCTCTCCCCCCACCCCTCGTTTGTTTGTCTTTTGAGACGGTTTCTCTGTGTAGCTTTGGAGCCTGTCCCAGAACTCACTCTGTAGTCTCGAACTCATGGATCTCCCTGCCTCTTCCTCCCACCACCGCCCAGCTTGTTTTCCTTCCTTTCTTTCTTAATTTATTTTTACATGTATACAGGTGCTTTGTCTGCATATATGCCTGCAGACCAGAAGAGGGCATCAGATCATGAGCTGCCGTGTGGGTGCTGCCAATGAATCCTCTGGAAGAGCAACCAGTGCTCTTAACCGCTGAGCCATCTCTCCAACTCCAAGACCTGAATTTTTTTTTTTTTAAATTTTTTCTTTCTTTTTTTTTTGTGGGTTATGGAGGAGGAAGGGTGAAGGGGGGGACAGAGAGAGAGGGAGAGAGGAGAGAGAGAGAGAGAGAGAGAGAAGAGGAGAAAGAGACAGAGAAGGGGGGAAGCTGAGAAGTGGGGAGAGAGGCAGAAGCGAAGCTGCCTCTCCGAGAGGAAGATGGAAAAGAGCTGAATTTCTAAATATGGACCAACACTCAGGAACTCAGGAGATGGGTTCCTGGAAATTCCTGTTAGTGTCCTTGCCTTTAGTATGACGGAATAAGTTATACCGGGAGCCTAACAAACAAAAAACCTCAACATACTTAACCCCCCTAACAAAAAGCCCACTCTCCTATGCTGATCGCCAGATCACTAACCACAAGCTCCACCCCTCCCCTCCCCTCCAGCCTCCTTTCCCGCTGGCACCCAGTTCTCAGACTCACTTTGCTCTTGCCCCAGGCACTTGCAGTTTCCAGCCCAGAAGACAAGATGTGGTTCCTTTGATCAAATGATATCTTCAGATGTGCTTGGTGGCCCAGATCATCAATTCCAACTCTAGGGAGGCAAAAAGAACGGAAGTTGGAGCTTGTCAGCCACCGTGTTTCAAGAAGCAAAAGACAGGGGTGGAGAGATGGTTCAAGAGTTAAGGGCACTGACCACTCTCCAGAGGACCCAGGGTTCGATTCCCAGCACCAACATGGTGGCTCCCAGCAATCTGTAACTTCAGGTGCAGGGGATATGACATCCTCTTCTGGTTCCTGTGAGCACTGCCCACACAAGATGCACAGAAGCGCCCAAGCACACACACACACACACACACACACACACACACACACACACACACAAATTTAAATGTATATTATTCTTTTTCCAAGACAGGGTTTCTCTGTGCAGCCTTGGTTATCCTAAAACTAGCTCTGTAGACCAGGCTGGTTTCCAACCCACAGAGATCGCCTGCGCTGCCTCCTGAGTACTAGGATTAAAGGCGTGCGTCACCACAGCCAGGCAAAATAAATGTTTTTTTTTTTGAAAAGCAAAATAAATAAATAAAAATAAATAGAAACAAACAAATAAAACTGAGATCACCTACTTAGCCAGAGGAGACTCGTCAAAATCAGCTTATTTATTTTAAGATTCTTTTTTTAAAATTGATTTTTAATAAGTATTAAAATGTATTTTTTCTCTGCTCCCCTTCCTTCCTCTCCCCTCCCCTTCAACCATCTCCCATGGTCCCCATGCTCCCAATTTACTCAGGAGATGTCTTTTTCTACTTCTCATGTAGATTAGATCCATGTATGTCTCTCTTAGGGTCCTCATTGTTATCTAGGTTTTCGGGGATTGTGAATTGTAGGCTGGTTTTCTTTGCTTTATGTATAAAAGCCACTTATGAGTGTGTGTTTGTTTTTTAATTTTCCCTCAGGAGTCTATATAGCCCAGGTTGACTTCGATCTCAAATTCGAGATCCTCCTCCTTCGAAGCCATCCCAAATGCGGGGATTCCAGGCATACCCCATCACGCCCATTTTAATCTCCTATGGATGGAAATCAATATTGGGGCGCCCTTCCCGTGGCATCACGGGCCCAGGCCCCTCAGGCCGGTTGCTTAGTGAGCCTCAGGCAGAGCAGCGATGTGTGACCTGAGCATGCCAAGCCAGGAAACCTCACGTTTCGCCGAGGCACATCCTCGGGCGAAACGGGTCCTGGAAAAGGAGGTTGTCTGACACTCGGCCAAACTGTGCCGCAGGGTGCAAACCTTTGGGCACAAAATAGGAGCCCGCTCTAATGCCGGGTGACAAACGTGTGTCAGACGGCTGAGCTTTCCGAACTTTCGAGCGCACCTCCCTGACTTCTCAAAGAACAGAAAGACGCTCGCGTGTAGAGGTGGAGCGTCTAGCCGGCCCCTTGCTAAGGCAGAGTGGGGGTGGGGAGAAGGGGTGTGTGGGGGTGGGGTAGGTGGGCGGCCGCTCTGCGGCCCGGGATTGGCGGGTACCGGCCCTCCGCCCCCGTCGCCGAGCCAATCGCGTGCGCCTACTCTGAGCCGCGGGGTCGGTGCTAGACCGGCCACCCCCAGGATCCCCAACTGAGCGTTGAACCCGTTCTTGCGCGCTTTCCAGCCTAACCTAGCCGAAGCTTTCCCGCATCTGAGTCCAGGTAAGTTCTGGACGCGTTGAGTCCGGCGCAGCGAGGTTCTCGCTGCGGTTCAGTGCCCCGCGGGCGCTCCCCACCCCTGCGCGAGGACTTGGCATCACCTGCACCTGGAAGCTCAGAGCTGTGCCAGCTTGCGAGTCGGGTGCTCCGGGTCGCTAAAGTCTGTGTGACTCCACCGGGAGCACTCTGCCGTCCCCGTTGCCCCGCCGAGACCTGCGTCCCTTGCCCCCTTCCCACAAGCATCGACCTCCTCGCAACCCCAAGCTGAGTACCCACTTGTGGATCCCACGGCCACGCGTCTCGGAGCGTGGAGCCAGGTTCTAGGGTGCTCTGGTACCGGTCATCGATTTTTTTCTGTTTTGGTTGGAGACTGGTGTTTCACAAATTGTTCTTATGGGGCCCTGGTGCCGGGTGGGGTAAATATTGAAGTAGTGGCGCGCGTGGGGTGGCTACTGCGCGGGAGAGCAGATTCTGTGCCTGGTGCCTCGTGCGGAGCCTGGCGCTGGGCGCGCGAGACCAGGAGTGTGCGGCAGCGGGGGTGATGGGCGGCGGGAGGGTAGACCAGGGCTATGTAACTTGCAACTTGGCAAGGGTTTCTCACGTCACTGCCGTACACTGTCTCCAATCGCCCCTTCCGCACATCAAGTAGCCAGATGGTGTGTGTGGGAGTTCGAAGTCCCTCGGTAAACTCCGCTGGAAGAGTAGCCTCTTGGTGAGGGCGGGGAGGATGCCCTGAGGAGTGCTCTCCAAGGCGAGTTCTGGTTCGGGTTGCCGGTGACTTCCTGTTCCACTAAGATACCCTGAAGGATGGCATCGGGTGACCAGTGCCTGAATGGCTTTCTGGGGAGTTCTACAACCAGTGGCGCCCAGCAGGAGGGCGCTCTGGAGAGGAGTCTTGCAGAACCACCTGCCTAGGCCAATACCTGGCTTCATGCCTGGAAGCTGTGTTCTCAGCGTCTCCCAGGTGGCAGGTTTGATTCAAGTTAGTTTTCCACCAAGGGGATTAGTGAGATGGGACAGGGCCGAGTAGGGCTCTTGACCTCAGCTGGGAGTGCTTGGCCCTGCCTCTCTTTTCCTTTTTACAGTCTATGCAGCCAGGTTAAGATTGAACCCCAGATTCTTGCTGGCCTCAGGCATGATTTTCAGTGCCCCATGGGCACGGTTACATCGGTTTTAGAGTGTGAGACCTCCGCCCACCTCTCTGCTGGAGGTGGAGTCTTTGGCTTGCTGTCTAGTCTTGGGGCCCACAACACACCTGTGAGTACCCAGTATCAGCTTCTGTCTCGTGTTTTACACAGGAAGTTTATTCCCCCCCCCCCCCCCACCTTCAAGACAGAATTTCACCCAGCTGGCCTGGAACCCAGGCTGTCCTTGAACTTCTAATCTCCTGCTTCCACCTCTGGCGATTACTGGTTTGTGCCCCGTGTCTGGCCTTGTTCTTCTTTGGTGTAAATTGTGGGTTAATGTACATAAAACATATTGTCTTTTCTCCAGGTCCATGGAAGGTGGGTCCCCAGGGGCATCCTTCCGCGTAGTCCTATGCACCTCTCACAAACTCCAAATCAGGCTTAGATTACTTAGAACACCAGAATGGTGTCCAGGTTAGCCAAGCAGATGCTGAGGGATGAGGAGAGATGCTCGGTGGTTAAGACCTCTTGCTGCTCTTGCAGAAGACCCTGGTGGCTCACAATGGGGATCTGGCTTGCTCATCTGGCCTCTAAGAGCACCAGGCTCGCACATGGTGCACATACATACATTCAGGCAAACATCCACACATAGTAGTAAATTAAAAAAAAAATTTGAGACAGGATTTCTCTGTGTAACAGCCCTGGCTGTCCTGGAACTCACTCTGCAGACCAGGCTGGCCTCAAGCTCAGAGAGATCCTCCTGCCTCTGCCTCCCAAGTGCTGGGATTAAAAGTGTGCGCCATCACACTCAGCTTTTAAAAAAACTTTTTTTTTTTAAAGCAGCTGTGATGCTCCATTCTTTCTGGAAATAATAAGAAAACGTGTCCTTATTAAGTACATACACATTTCTTTCACAACTGCTTTCTTTGTGGAATAATAATATGAAAATGTGTCCTTAATAGGCACACACACATTTCTTTCTTTTGTTTTATTTGTTTTATTATATTTACTTTTTATTTTATTTTTTGGGGGGACAAGGAGTTGTCCTCTCCCACCAAACTACACCCGCCCTCTGAATGAATAATTTCAACCCGCAGTGCAGTCTGAGGTGCAGAAACGGTCACTATGGAAGCAGTGTCTTCTCACTTTATCCACAGTATGGCGCAACGCCTGTCACTGTCTGTGCAAGGTTTTGGCTAGTGTTGAATGTTACCTTGACACAGTTTAGAGTCACCTGATCAGGGGCCTCAACAGAGGGACTGCTGCCTAGGTCAGTTTGGCTTGGGGTCATTTAGTCCTCGATGTGGGAGGAGCCAGTCCCGTGGGAGTTCTGAGCGGTGTAAGACCCGAGAAGGCGGCAACATGGCTGCATTTGTCTCTCCTGGCTCGTGACTGTGGCTATGATGTGACTAGCTGCAGAAGTTCTGCCCTGGCTGCCCTGAAATGATGGACCGTAACCAGGAACTGTAACTGAAATAAACCCTGGCTACAGGGTGAAAATAGGACCAGTCTCGTGTGTTTTCATCATCTCAAAAGCCCTGTGCGTTAAACAGTTACTCTCTTTCTGCACACCCCTGCCTTTGATGTCCTGTACGCTCTGCTCCTATTGATTTGCCTGTTCTGGGTCCCTCACATGCATCAAATCATAGGACATTTGATCATTCTGGGCATTTCTAGAAATGAAATTTGTTTTGTGATTGACTTCTTTCCTCTAACATCATGTCTTCAGAGTTCATCCATTCTTAGTTTTAAAAAACAGATTTACTGGGGCTGGAGAGATGGCTCAGAGGTTAAGAGCATTGCCTGCTCTTCCAAAGGTCCTGAGTTCAATTCCCAGCAACCACATGGTGGCTCACAACCATCTGTAATGGGATCTTGTGCCCTCTTCTGGCCTGCAGGCATATACACAGACAGAATATTGTATACATAATGAATAAATAAATATTTTAAAAAAAAAAAAAAAAAAACAGATTTACTTACTTGTGTCTATGTATGGGTTGCGTTGGACATCTTGCTTGTTACGTGTGTGCTTAGATCTGAACTCCAGTCTTGATGACTTCAAAGCAAGCATTCTTAACTGCTGAACCATCTCTGTAGCCCCAGTCTATTCCTTTTTGTGGCTGGATAGTTAGTATCCATTGCATGGACGGAACACATTTTTGTGCATCCATTCATCCGTGACCTTGGGTGATGTTCACCTTCTGGATCTCAAGGCTGTCATGAGAACGAGCATACTAAATATCTATTTCTATTTTTCTTTAGTCTCTGCCTTGGAGTTGAGTTGCCGGATCATATGGGAGTTCTCTGTTTAACTTTCTGAACAGGAGCCTAACTATTTCCACAACAGCTGGAGCCTATGCCTTTTCTCCCATCTTTGCTGGGTTTGTTTGAGTGGAGTGTCATTCTCACAGGGGACGTGTGAGCCAACTTCCAAACCAACAGATCTCTGCTCCCTCTACAGATCCCAGCATGCCTTTGGGGACATCCCAGTGTGAAGCTGGTTCTGCAGAGTGCCCTCAGCACCCCGAGATGCACTCAGGGAAAGGACACCTAGAGAAGGGCTCTTCGGGGGACAGTGAGCGCCTATGGATCCCACCCGATACCCCAAGCCGATGTACCTGGCAGCTGGGCAAGCCCATGGCAGACTCCCCTCATTATCACACAGCACCGTAAGTCTTGGCTTTGATCCCGAGATGGCAGGCCTATTTCCTTGAGGGGTGGAGCAAGGGAATGGGGGCCATACAGCTACCAGGTTCAGGGTGAGGACCCCTGCTCTGCGATCCACGTGGGGGCAGGCCCAGGGGGCTAGAAGCAATGTAGACCAGGTTCAGAGAGGCCAAGGTTTTTTGTACTATACAGCACAGATGTACTGAGTTGTACTGAGTGTTTGGTTCTTATGGGTTCCTTTTATGGTTGGGCAGAGACTGTCAGTGGCACTGATAGATATCTGCCATGATTTTATTTGAAAGAACTCAAATCAGAAGCCATTCCACACACAGTTACTCAGTAGCTTGCTCAGGAACAGTCACTGTGTCGTGCCCTGTTCTAATCCCCAGGATGGAGCCATACGGGTTCCTGCCCTGTTGTAAAAGCCCTTAGGATTATCTTCATTCCCTTAGTCTAATGTCTTCAAATTAAAACAAGTGGGTGAAAGGATCTGCGTTTTAAATCTTAGAGTCCTGTTCCCTGTGTGTGGCCACCAACATTTATGGTTATTGATTCAAAAGTCTGAACAAGCATGGGCAGGTGTGGGAGGCAGCATTTTCAAGGCGCCAAAGGAGGGGGCAGGGGAGTATACAAACTAGAAGCTGTGCCCATTGAATGGGCTCCAGTGCTGGGAGGTCAGGAGACAAGTGGGGGCCTGGCCGGAGGAGTCCTTGCTGGGACAAGAGAGCAGGAGGTAGAGCCCGTAGCTGCAGAACTGACTGCCGAGGGTGTCTGAAGGCCTGGGAACTGCTTGTTCAAAGACATATGTGGCATGCATCAGCCCTTAAAGGGCAGGTTTGTCCTCAGCTGCCTACCCCTGCCTTTGTCAGAAGTCACTGGAGGACCAGGGAGGAAACCCGAGGGAAGGCTCACACACTACACTGGTTCAGGGAACCTGGTATGGCCCCAGATATCAGCAGAGAAAAAGATGGAAGATATTGAACAGGGCGAGACAAGCCAGCCAGTTCCAGAGGTTCCTGATGTAGGGACTTCAGAGGGAAGGACAGGTGGGCAGGCAGCCCTGATGGTGAATTGGGGTTTCTGAGGTCCTGTGGGGCTGCCCTCGTGCGCTGGCAAGGCACAGGCAGCTGGGACGGGCAACAGATCTGAGCCATCACCTGTACAAACAGCTGATAAGTTTCTGAGTGAGGTCCCAGCCCGTATCCTGGTGCTACCCCTGCCTGGCCTCCCTGGGGTTGAGGGTCAGGAGCTCTTTAACTTGACCCAGCCTATCTCTACTTTTCTGAGCCCAACCATAGACAGCCTTGGAAGGGAGCATGACCAGCTCTTCTGCAGAGCAAGACTGCCTCTGTGGAACCAACACCTCGCTGGAGTTTAGCCTGTTGCTGCGTGTTGGCACCCAGGCAGCTGCTTTTCCTCCCTCCCTGGAACTCCATATTGCTTACTCCTCCCCTGAACAAGGGCCAAAGGTGTCTGAGATTTCTATTTAGTCAGTTTGGCTTCAGTATGGGAAGCCTGGGGTGGGGAGGCAGGAACCTGGCAGCCTTGAAGTCTGGGTGTGGGGCACAGGGTGGCTGAGTACAGCTAGGGGGAGGCAGGGAGTGCGTGGACATGCAGCCATTCCTGAGCCTGTGGAGGGAGAGTTGTAGAAGAACTGTTCTGGAAACTGCTTTGGTCACTTTGTACTGCCATGGAAATGCTGAGGATAGCCTTGCAGATAGGCTTGACCTATCACTGGCCCATAGCCCTGGCCCCAAGGGCAAACACGAGCAGCCCCAGCCTTGGCCCTTTTGTTTCTTTTCTTTACTTTTTTTTTTAAATATTTATTTATTTACAATATTCTGTATGCCTGCTGGCCAGAAGAGGGCACCAGACCCCATTACAGATGGTTGTGAGCCACCATGTGGTTGCTGGGAATTGAACTCAGGACCTTTGGTAGAGCAGGCAATGCTCTTAACCTCTGAGCCATCTCTCCAGCCCTTTTCTTTTCTTTCTTTTTTTTTTTTTTTTTTTTGAGACAGGGTTTCTCCGTGCATCTCTGGCTGTCCTGGAACTCACTCTGAAGACCAGGCTGTTCTCGAACTCAGAGTTCCTCCTGCCTCTGCCTCTTGAGTGCTGGGATTAAAGGCATGTGCCACCACTACCCAATTGGGCCTTTTGTTTCTGTATACCACTTCTGCCTTGCTGGCCCTGTAACGTCAGGCTTCTGGGGACTATGCCAGTGGCAGGATATCTGGATGTCAGCAGTGAGGACCCACTCCTGAGAGGGAGACACCTCAGTTGTTCAGGGAACTGAACGGAAAGAAGGAGTTCCTCTGTCAGCTATGGTTGACGAACCAAAGGGCTAGGATACTCAGGGAAGACTTTCTAGGCAGAGGCTGGGTCTTTTGTCTCAAAGTCAGGCTTTGTTTGTTGGTTACATAGCCTAGCTTGTTCTGGGCCTTGAGCTCACAGTAATCCTCCAGCCTCAGCCTCCCGTGTACTAACTCGGATTATAGGTGCCTGGCTGTTTTTAGTTTGAGACTTTGGAGTCCACTGGTATCATGAACCCACGACACTGTCGGCTGGAGGGTCCCATGTGGGTTTTGTCCTATTTGACCTAGTGTAGAATATGATCCAGTCTGGGAGAGATGTGCCTTTGCAGTAGAGCCATTTGAAGCATAATCTAATGAATTTTAAAGAAAGCTAACCCAATTAGCTGTTGAGGAGGCTGGACTGAAAATGGAGATGTTGTAATAACAGCGGCGGGGCTGTGTCCCCAGCACCCTGGCCACCTGCTAGCTTATGCCCGAAATAACAACACACAAACTGTATTCATTTAAACACTGCTTGGCCCATTTCTATCTAGCCTCTTCTAGGCTAATTCTCGCACCTGGACTAGCCCATTTCTAATCATCTGTGTAGCCCACGAGGTGGCTTACCAGGGAGATTCTAGCCTACGTCCATCGTGGGTCGGAGCTTCATCGCGTGTGCCTCAGAGAGCAGAGCTATCACGTCTACCAGGGAGAGCAGAGCATGGCGTCTCTCTGAGGTGTCTGCCTCCAAGAGGAGAGCTGTTGAGTCTGAGCTCACTTCCTCTTCCTCCCAGCATTCTGTTCTGTTTACTCCTCCCACCTATGTTTTAACCTATGAGGGCCAAGCAGTTCTTTATTGCTTAACCAATGAAATCAACAGATTGATATGACACTCCCACATCATGGAGAGGATGAGAAATTCTGCCACAGAGAAATGAGGGGCCAACCATGGCTATATCTGTCTAAATAATGATTGGGAAAACCTCTGCCTGACAGGGCAGCAGACCTGGCACGGAGGGAGTACTCACTCCCCAGGAAGAGAGTGGGGAGGCAAGGGCTGCTGTGCAGGGGCAGAGGACTTGGGAGTTTTCTGGAAGCCCTATAAGGCAGGAGAGAGACAAGACAGGAGACATATGTGGTCAGTTAGTGTATCAGCTGTTCAGTGATACTCTGGGGCCCTATAATGTTTGAGACCCATAGGAGGAAGTAAGGGTTATATGTGGTCAGTTAGTATATCAGCTATTCAGTGATACTCTGGGGTCCTATAATGTTTGAGACCCATAGGAGGAAGTAAGGGTTATATGTGGTCAGTTAGTGTATCAGCTGTTCAGTGATACTCTGGCGTCCTATAATGTTTGAGACCCATAGGAGGAAGTAAGGGTTATATGTGGTCAGTTAGTATATCAGCTATTCAGTGATACTCTGGGGTCCTATAATGTTTGAGACCCATAGGAGGAAGTAAGGGTTATATGTGGTCAGTTAGTGTATCAGCTGTTCAGTGATACTCTGGGGTCCTATAATGTTTGAGACCCATAGGAGGAAGTAAGGGTTATACTTTGAAGACTGGGGTAAAGTTTATGCAGTGTAAGTTGAGCCTAAGGATGAGTAACAGACCCAGCTGGGATAGAGATCTTCTCCAGTAGTAAAAGAAAAGATATTAAACAGAGGTGTGTGTGTGTGTGTGTGTGTGTGTGTGTGTATACATGTACCATAGCACACATGCACATGTGGGAGTCGGGGACAACCTTGGGTACCAGTTCTTGCCAACTTGTTTGAGACTCTTGCTTTTCTCTTCTTCTTCTTCTTCTTCTTCTTCTTCTTCTTCTTCTTCTCTTCCTCCTCCTCCTCTTTCTCCTCCTCCTCCTCCTCTTCTTCTTTTTGTTTTGTTTTTGTCGAGACAGAGTTTCTCCGTATAGCCCTGGATGTCCTGGAACTTGCTCTGTAGACCAGGTTGACCTCGAACTCACAGAGATCCACCTGCCTCTGCCTCCCAAGTGCTGGGATTAAAGGCATGTGCTACCACCTACTGGTTCTGCTGCTCTGGCTCATTTTTCTGGTTCGAGCACAGGGGTTTTAGAAACACACTACTATGTCCACATTTGACAGGAATTCTAAGGGTTCAAATCCAGGCTTGCCCAGTATGATGCTTTAACCACTGAGCTGTCTCCTCAGCCCAGAGCCAGATTTTTATCTCCTCAGAGCCATTCTGTAATTCTTTATCTCCTAAATGCCCATGATGCCCAGCTTCCAACTGTTATTCTTTTTTGGTTCCTGAATGGCTCCCTTTCTCTGTTTTAGGACAAAATCTCCAAAAATTTTGCCAGATATTCTGAAGAACATTGGGAACACCCCCATGGTCAGAATCAACAAGATTTCAAAGAATGCAGGACTCAAGTGTGAGCTGTGTGAGTGTTTGGCTCTTCTGGGACAGCCTCCCTCTGGACCAGGACCCTGGGATGACCCCTTGCTGAGGTTCTGGCGGTGTTGGCAGTGGGGTCTTCTGGGATGCAGGATGTGTGTTGGTGACGGAGATGGCCTCTCTAACTGATGGTTTGGGGTCAAAGAGCCTACCTGGGAAGGTTCTGTAGGGGTCAAAGGCAGAAGCAAAACCTGAGCGCTCGGTATATCTTTTTTTATTTTTTAATTGTTTTTTGAGACAATGTTTCACTGTGTAGTTCTTTTTTTGTTTGTTTTGGTTTTAAGAGATAGGGTTTCTTTGCTAGCCCTTGCTGTCGTGGAAGTAGCTTCTCCAGCCCTGAAACACCCTTGAGGTGGGGAGGAAGGCTAAAGAGCAAGGGATGGTCCAGCATGGAGGGAGGCGACGTCAGGTGTGGGTGGGGCTGAGCAGAAAGGCTGGGCTCACTGACCAAAGATGATGGAGGCTGCCAGGGGTGGTGGAGTTTGGGGCAACTGGCAGGGGTTCCAGGGGACTCAGGTCTGAGGTGGTCTGTCCAGGGCTGCTTGAACTGGTTGCCTTGGCAGGACTGTATGGGCTCAAATCCAGACACCTACTGCCTGTACACATTCTGCTGGGACATGTCTGCTAACCGTCTGCCTGTGGGTTCTTGACTGTCTTTCCCGTTTACTTAGTATCGCCATGGGTCTGCAGGCCAGGTGGGAGACAGGCCAGCTGTGACCGGGGGTGTCCAGGTACAGAAGTGGGCAATGGGTATACAGATGCCCAGAATGGCAAACACCCAGGCCTGCCCTCATCCTGGGGGTATATCCGGTGTAGTTGAGGGTGGCAGGAATCCATGGGGGCCAGAGAGTCCTCCCCCCTCTCTGATTCTGTTTGGCTTTCAGTGGCCAAGTGTGAGTTCTTCAACGCGGGTGGGAGTGTGAAGGACCGCATCAGCCTTCGGATGATTGAGGATGCTGAGCGAGACGGCACCTTGAAGCCTGGGGACACGATCATTGAGCCGACTTCTGGGAACACAGGTGAGGGTAGGGCCAGCTGAGGCTGAGCAGAGGCTGAAAGTCCCTGGTCTGTGCAGACCTGCAGGGAAGTCAGGAGGCAAAGGTTGGCTACCTTGTTCTGTTTCGCTTCACCCCCAGAAGTATACCTGGCTGCCAGAATAAATTCCCCTAAGATCGCCATCAGAGTGTGGGGTTCCTACCCAGAACAAGGGCCCTTTGTCCTTCCATGCTTCGGGGGCATGCTCCAGGCATGGGCAGGGAGGCACAGGGCCTTGGGCACGGGGCCCCTCTCACCCTCAGCATGCACCCCTCAGGGATCGGGCTGGCTCTGGCAGCTGCTGTGAAGGGCTACCGCTGCATTATCGTGATGCCAGAGAAGATGAGCATGGAGAAGGTGTGTCTAGGGTGCGGCGAGGTGGAGGGCGTGGCCAGTGGGAGGGCAATGACTTGATGGGCTATTGTTGAATCAAATGGATAAAAAGGGGAGCTGGGGGGGATAGGGGTGGCGCTTTGGCTTTCAAAGTGTCTTCCCTTCTGCTTTACAGTCTCTTTGCCTTGTTCTCTCTCTCTTTCTCTGTGTGTATGTCCCTCTGTGTCTTCACCCTTTAATAAAAGCCTTTCTTTACTGACTGGAGGGTACAATTTAGGCTGGTGCCTAACTTAGGGATCAGACCCAGGGATGAAAGTATGGTTTTCCCTGTGCAGGTGGATGTGCTGCGGGCCCTGGGAGCTGAGATCGTGAGGACCCCCACCAATGCGAGGTTCGATTCCCCCGAGTCTCACGTGGGAGTGGCATGGCGACTGAAGAATGAAATCCCCAATTCTCACATTCTGGACCAGGTGAGGTGTCTCCCCTACCCCACTCCTGCTCCCCCAGGAGAAAATTTTGTGGTCAGAGATTTGTGTTCAAGTGTGCTGTTTCCTCTGGGTCCTGTTGGGAGACTGGGAGACAGGTCTCTGCCCTGCATGAGCAAGGTGACAGTACTTCCTCTGGGGAGGTGCTCCAGGGCCCTGCTCAGTGGCAGAGCCAGTGGTTTTGGCTGTCCCACCACCCAGTTGTGCTTGGTCAGCAGTGAGGGTGGGCTACCTTTCCAGAGGACCCTCTGGGCTCTGAAGATGCAGAATGTCTATAGCCTGCATCCCAAGGCTCAATCCGCTGTTCATTTCCTTTCTGGGTTAATTTCACATTGTGATGACCTGATTTTAATATCTTGTCTGTGAGGTTCCCGAGATGAGGTTTTCTAGGCTGCTGTAGGACTTGCTGGCCAGCGTGGCACTGACTATCCAGTGTCCGTGCACGATGCAGGTGATTTCCGTTCCCTCACCACCTTTCTCTCTTCCACACAGTACCGCAATGCCAGCAACCCTTTGGCGCACTATGATGACACGGCCGAGGAGATCCTGCAGCAGTGTGATGGTGTGTGTGCTTTCCACTCCTCCACACACCTTGACCGCAATCATCATTTCTTCTTCTTCTTCTTCTTCTTCTTCTTCTTCTTCTTCTTCTTCTTCTCCTCCTCCTCCTCCTCCTCCTCCTCCTCCTCCTCCTCCTTCTTCTCTTCTCCTCCTCCTTCTTCTTCTTTTCTCCTCCTTCTTCTTCTCTTCTTCTCCTCCTCCTCCTCCTTCTTCTTCTTCTCTTCTTCTTCTTCCCCTCCTCCTCCTCCTTTTCCTCCTCCTCCTTCCTCTTCTTTGTTATTTACTTATTATGTATACAGTGTTCTGCCAAGGGAGTCACTCGCCCTCTCCTTGGCAAACTCAGCTTAAACACCCATCTTTGTGAAATAGTTTCTGGAGACACTATTCTTTCCCTGAGGCCTCTTGGCTTTCACCGGTGCCTCTCCCTGTGTTCCAGAAACATGATTCAGACTGCGTGTCCACATTTAATTTTTTCTTTTTTTCTTTCTTTCTTTTTTTTTTTTTGCTTTTGTTTTGTTTTTTTTTTTTTTTTTTGGTGTTTTTTGAAATAGTGTAGCTCTGGCTGTTCTGGAATTAGCTCTTGTAAGACCAAGCTGGCCTCAAACTCACAGAGATCCACCTGCCTCTGCCTCCCGAGTGCTGGGATTAAAGGTATGAGCCATATGCCTGGCTAGGGGCATTGAATTTGACATTCAGCTTTTCTTACCTCTGGCAATAGTTGTGGTTATCTTACTCCAGTACAGGCATGAGGCTCCTTAGAACCATGTACATGTGCTGAGTGCCTATTTCCTGGGGCTGGTGGGAACCCTAAGAGGGACTCATGGGAGAAGGTGCCTGAAGGTCCCACCCTTGGCTTCCCATTAGAACCTGGTGTTGGCATTGACCTGAGTGCAGACTTGTTCGGTGCCCAGGAACCGGCCCATAAAAGCCCGGGTATTTGCTTAGCTGGTTTTATGAGTGAGAATTCTCATTTGGCAGAGTTGGTGCACATTGCTTCATTCCTGAGTTTGCCCAGTTCAGGCTTGCTTGATGTGGAGCTGACCCTCAGCAGCATGAGAGAGCTTGGGCCAGTTCTCAGCTTCAGCCATTTTTCCTGTATCCTAAAAACCCAGTTTGCTTATCTGTAATCACTCAAGAATCAGCCAGCCTAGGAAGGCACACCATTGACAGCTTATCTCTGCCAAACTTTTAGCTGCCCAGCCGTGACCCATCCTTGTAGATCAGCTACACTGGTGGTTTAAAGGCCAACGTCACAGTACAGACAGCAGCCCCTGCCTTGGGCATACTGTCCACAGATGGGGGCAGTGACAGGCGATGTTTATCTCCTTGACCTAGTTTGGCTTAATTGTATTTCCACCAATGGTCATTCAGAGTGGAGGGCTGACTGAGTCGTGACCTGAGAATGTCCTCCCTCCCCCAGGGAAACTGGACATGCTGGTGGCTTCAGCGGGCACAGGTGGCACCATCACAGGCATCGCCAGGAAGCTGAAGGAGAAGTGCCCCGGATGTAAAGTGAGTGTGGCACCTGGGTGGTGCTGGTACAGACTGGGTGGCTGAGAGGGAGGGCCTGGACTCACTCTCCTGCCTGCGTGGCCTGAGCTGTGTTGAGAGGCTCAGGGCTGTTGGCATCAGGCTGGCAGGTCCCTCTGCCTGGAAACTGGTTTCTTCCCACATTCCTCTCTCATTGCATTGCTGTCTTGAATAGTTGTATCAAGTTGCCCAGGAGTAACTTGGGGAGCAGAGGGTCCTGGGGGCTCCTATTCTGATTAGTGAGACTAGCCCAGAAGCCACCAGAGAGAGTCCCAGGTTGTCGTGAGTTATGGCAGTGGTTCTCAACCTGTGGGTTATGACCCCCTTGGGGGTTGTACATCAGATTTTCTGCACATCAGATATTTACATTATGATTCATAACAACAGCAAAGTTACAGTTAGGAAGTAGCAACAAAAATAATTTTATGGTTGGAGGGTAGGCACAACATGAGGAACTGTATTAAAGGGTCGTAGCCTTAGGAAGGTTGAGAGACACGGGTTAGGAGCAGGCCTGATGAAGAGGGGCACAAAGAAACAGGGGTATTTTCTCCCCATGAGACTGCCCACCCTCCAGGAATATATCAGTGTGCAGAGCTGTCCTTTGTCCCCAAAGGGCTCTCCAAATGCTCATGACTGGGACCTTTCCTAGAGCAGCATGGGGAGAATCTTTCGAAATACCCTGTGCTAGATCTTAGCTCTGAAAGGTGTGGCCTTCCTGCTTCTTTTTTTTTTTTTTTTTTTTTTTTTTTTTTTTGGTTTTTCGAGACAGGGTTTCTCTGTGGCTTTGGAGCCTGTCCTGGAACTAGCTCTGTAGACCAGGCTGGTCTCGAACTCACAGAGATCCGCCTGCCTCTGCCTCCCGAGTGCTGGGATTAAAGGCGTGCGCCACCATCGCCCGGCCCCTTCCTGCTTCTTGTCTGAGATTCTGGGACTAGCTAGCACAGGCATCCTGTGAGCCAGTCATTAACAGGCAGATATTAGTGGATTAATCTCCTTTCTAATGGCAGCTGCCCCGGGCTGGGTTGCATTTCTCCCTGACCTGAGCCCTAAAGCTGCCCACCCTGCAGATCATTGGTGTAGATCCTGAGGGGTCCATCCTTGCGGAGCCTGAGGAGCTGAACCAGACAGACCAAACAGCCTATGAGGTGGAAGGGATCGGCTATGACTTCATTCCGACCGTCCTGGACAGGGCGGTAGGTTGGGCCAACGTGCTCCCCCAGGCAGAGTTACAGGAGGCTGCCGCCAGATCCTTAATCGCTTCTGCATTCTGGCACTCAAGCTGACCTAATGGGTGTTGAGGGGACGGCGTGGGGAGCGCAGTTACAGGAGCTGAGTCAGGGTGAAGCGCAACACCATGTTCAAATATGGCCTCTGAGATGCAATGGGAAGGACGGACAAGGATGGCCAGGGTGGATGTGGGATGGCCACTATTAACAGAGATCACCAGACCCATGGAGATGCTGGTGGTCTGAGTTACTCTGCAAAGCACAACTGAGCAGGGAAGGGCAAAGAAGTCTCAGTTTGCAGACCCAGGGGACAAAGTCTTCTGGGAGGTTTCCCCGCCCCCAGCCCCCTCCACCAGAGCAGAGGCCCATGACCCTGTCTTGCCACAGGTGGTGGATAAATGGTTCAAGAGCAACGACGAGGAGTCCTTCACCTTTGCCCGCATGCTCATCGCCCAGGAAGGGCTGCTGTGTGGTGAGTGGCTGGACGAGCCCTGTGGGGGGTAGGGTTAGAGAACCGTCCAGGCTGTGTGCAACCTACTCCAAATGCATGGATGTCATGGACATTCTGAGGCTGTGTGACCACAGTGACTTCCCTTCCCGTCCGTCTGTCCAGGCTCTTCCTTCCTTAGCTGTTTGCTTGTCCTTTGCAGCCTCTTGGAGTCACCTGTGGAGATGAGAGCGTGAGGCACAGGGCCCAGGCTTCATCTGCCCTTCTAGTGTCTGAGGCAAGCTCTTGTGGGTCCCCCCCATTCATATATAGTCCTGTCCTTGGAATGATGGCTCAATCATCAGCAGCTGGAGGCTAGGGCATGCTGGGACCCACAGAAGGGCTCCCTCAGTCATCCTGTTCAGGGTGAATAGGGCACCATTGCCTGACCACAGAAGTTTGAGTTAGACCTGAGAATTGGAGAACACCAAGCGTGCCTGAACCTGCCCTATAAGTGTGGCCCCATCTGTTCTGAGTCATGCTGGAATGGGGCAGGGGAAGGCAGTCAGCCCCTAGCATGGCCTGGTCAACAGCCAAACACTATTAGGAGAGGGGGAACAAGCCCTTCGATTGAAGAGAACTTTCAGTGTGACCACTAGGAGGAGGCTTGTGACGTGGACTCTCATTCAGTGAATTTACACACACACACACACACACACACACACACACACACCGCATGACCACTAGGAGGGAGAGGAGACATGTGGCTTGGGCTCTCATTCAGTGAATTTACACACACACACACACACACACACACACACACACCCGCATGACCACTAGGAGGGAGAGGAGTTTATGCCCGCCTCTCGCACTCAGTGTAAGAAGTATAAACCTGGGAGCAGGACCATGGCCTCTGTGAGAGGCACCAGGTTGACCTTTCTGACTGACTTGTGCCTTCTTAGGCTGAGCCTGGAGGAGCCCCAACTGGAGAGGCAGTGTCACAGTGTCTTTGGCTCTCTTTGGAGGTCCCAGGACCAGGGCCCTCTATGGTCAGTGTCAGAGAGCCTGGTGTCACCCTACTTGCTTTGCATGGTGGCTTTGAGCAGTCAGTGAGACACGTGTTTTCCTTGTTTGGCTCTTGGCTTGGGGTCAGGCTATAGCTTGGGGAACCAGGAGCCCTTGTCGTGAGCCCCTCTTCTGACCGAGCATGATTTGCCTCTTTATCCCGGGGTCTCCTCAGTCTTCCAGAGTGTTTAATTATGGAATGCGAGCTCCATTGACCTAGAGGAAAAAGATGATGCAGAGGAATAGAGTCCCTTAAGGCCTGTTCTCTGTCCAGAGATCCCACAGATTCTTCCAGAGCATGAATGGGCATGTGTGAGATACATGCCTAAATGGTTCCCACAGATCCTTCTAGAGCATTGCCGTAGGTGTGGGGTTATACAAGCACATGTTGTTCATCTATGGATGCACACACAAGCCTGTGGGCAAGTCTAACAGTCCTCTCGGCAGGTGGAAGTTCAGGCAGCGCCATGGCTGTGGCCGTGAAGGCTGCCCAGGAGCTGGAGAAAGGACAGCGCTGTGTGGTCATCCTGCCTGACTCTGTGCGGAACTACATGTAAGACACACCCCTGGTCCCTGTCGCCCTCCTGGCTGCTGTCACCTAAGTGCTGACCGTGGGATGCTAGGAAAGGGTAGTGGACAGGTGGACCCTGTAAGCCTGCTAGCCCCAGGATCCTCCATGTCTTTGGAGCCAGTGTTCACTTTACATGGCTCTATCCTGAGCCTGTGTGTGTGTGTGTGTGTGTGTATGCCCATGGTGACAGCTCTGGTAGACAGTTGTGTCCCCTATACACTCCTCTGTCCTGGCTGAACTAGGAGGAGCTACTCTGCAGTAGGCCTCGTGGGCAGCAAGAGTACTCCCTCACCCCTTGGACTTCCTCTACAGCCTGTGAGCTATGTTTGTGTTGAGTCTGGCAGCCTGGCAGGGCCACGCATGGTGCATGGGCATCCCACTGGCTTCCAGGTAGGGTGATGAGCAACCCAGAAGGCCATCCATCTCCCCTGCACATGGCTGGCCTGTCTTGGGTGTGCATCTGTGTGTGTGCATGGTCCTGTTTTGTGTGAGTGCAGGCGTGTGCTCAAGTTGAGGGCCAGAAGCCCTTGAGCATCCTATACGAGAGTGCTGGAGCAGGGGCCGCCTCTGCCGCATGTTGCTGCCCCTCAGCCTGTCTCCCGGTAGAGATCCTAACAGCTCTGTAGCCTGGCTCTGCAGCTTTTGGTCAGAATGGGAAAGGCTCCCTCTTTTGGGCAGACCTGGAGGGGGGGGGCGGTCCAAGGAGAAGGCTGCCCAGGAACCTACAAGAGGGGTACTGATCACAGAGGCTTCCAGAAGCAACCTCCTTGGTTCCTTCAACCTCGATGCCCAGTAACCCCCAGTTCTCTGCCTCCATGGAACTCCACCATCCTTCCATCGTACGCTGAAATTGGCCCGAGTTAGTCACAAGGCCCTCTGAAACTCATCCCTGACCATGTATGTGCCCACTGGGTACAGAGGCCTCAGTGACACCCTCACCCTGCAGGTCCAAGTTCCTGAGTGACAAATGGATGCTGCAGAAGGGTTTCATGAAGAAGGAGCTCTCCGTGAAGAGGCCTTGGTAAGGTGCTGCCTGACCCTGGCATCCCTGGATGAGCAGGAAAGGCAGCCTTCCCGTTTCCCGTCACGGCGGTCACGCCGCCTTTCCCTGTCCTCTTCCACCCGCTCCTTCAGGTGGTGGCATCTACGTGTTCAAGAGCTGAGCCTGTCAGCGCCACTGACTGTGCTGCCCACGGTCACCTGTGAGCACACCATCAGCATTCTCCGGGAGAAGGGCTTCGACCAGGTGCCCGTGGTCAACGAGTCAGGGTCAGTCTCACCCGCACGCCGGTCCAGGACTCTGCCTTTAGACTGTGCCAGGATCCCAGGTCCTGCTTCCCAGGCCTCTGTGCCCATGCCACTAAATGGGATGGGCAGCCACAGGCTGCATGTGGTCACTTTGCATACAATGTCTAGAGTGACAGACAGCTACTGACCACCTTGTCCCCCAAGCAGCTGAGATTAGACCCTACTAACTCTTGGGGGGGCCTCAGTTCTTCTGTCTCCCTAGTTCATTGTTAGTATGCAGGCCCACCCGTGCCCTAGGGAGTGGGTGACAGGCACCCTGGGGGGGTGGCACACACAACAGTGCATGAATATGCAATGGTAGGGAAATCCAGTTGACCAGCATCCTATACCCAGCTTCAGAAGTCTGATGGCTGGTCACCATGGACCCCCATGGGGACATAAACACTGCAGGACTCGTAAGCTTGCTTGTCCCACTGTTCTTCCTCCCCCAACTGTGTTTTTTATGCATACGACTGCTTTTTGCCCTGAATACATGTATTTGTGTGTATGTGAATCTATGTGTGTGTGTATGCACACGCGCGCATGTGAATGTGTGTGCACCACCTGTGTGCCTAATGCTTGCGGCAGTCAGAAGACATCAGATTGGGAGCTAGAGTTACAGGTGTTTGTGAGCTGCCCTGTGGGTGCCAGGAACCAAACCCAGGTCCCCTGCGAGAGCAGCAAATGCGCTGATCACTGAGCCGTCTCTCTATCTCCTGGGTTGAGTGTGAAAGGATCTTGACATCAAGTCAACATAAGACACCCAAGGCCAAGTTCTCTGCACAAGATTTATTTTCCCCAGAGGGACAAAGGGCAAGGAATGAGAGACAACGACAGGAGATAGAGGGTGAGGGAGAAGGGGAAAGGGATATTAAGGAGATGGACCTTGATGGCTGGTGTATATGTATATAATCTAACAGTTTGACAAGCCAGAGGGAATGGGGGAAGGGCAAGGCCTGCCAGAGCCACGTTTGCCATGCTTAGGCCTGCTAGAACCCCTTCTCTGACCCTTGCCTCTTCTCCCCCGCCAACTCTACGCCCTTCCCAGGGCCATCTTAGGGATGGTGACTCTTGGAAACATGCTGTCATCCCTGCTTGCTGGGAAGGTGCAGCCATCAGATGAAGTCTGCAAAGTTCTCTACAAGCAGTTCAAACCGGTACGCGTGTTTTCCAGAGGGAAAGTGGGCATAGGAAACCGGTACGCATGTTTTCCAGAGGGAGTGGGCATGGGAAACTGGTACGCATGTTTTCCAGAGGGAGTGGGCATGGGAAACCGGTACGTGTGTTTTCCAGAGGGAGTGGGCATGGGAAACCGGTACGTGTGTTTTCCAGAGGGAGTGGGCATGGGAAAGCAAGTTGGGCCTTCAAGGCAGGGCATAGTGTTTGCGGTGCCCAAGGTGGGTCCCTCCCATACCACCCCTCGGAAGCTCTACAGCTTGCTTAGGGGGTTCAAGGTCACTTCAGTTCAAGGTCACCACTGTCACATAGATCTTGCATGCAGACTCTGTACTCTTGGTCCATCTCTCCTTCACAGACCCCAACAAGCCATGGTGTGTCTGCTAGTTTGGCCTCTAAGCAGAAGCCATGGGTTGGAGTCAAATGGCAAGTCACTTTTCAGGCAGGTTGCCACAACACAGAATGCTCTAAGCTCTGCGGGGCCTTTGTTCTACTTATCTGAGCAGCTTTGGAGAATGTTGCACCTCTCGCCTTTGTCAAGTCTGTGGGGGCTGGTAGCTCTGAGGGCCAGCATGGAGCATGGACACAGCTTTTCTTGCAGATCCACCTGTCCGACACACTGGGCACACTCTCCCACATCCTGGAGATCGACCACTTCGCCCTGGTGATCCATGAGCAGATCCAGTGTGAGTGGGGTTCACTTGGTGCTGGGTTCTTGTTGGGGGCAGAGGGTGTTAAGCCCTGGACACTGGCCGTGCCTGGCCCAGGCTCTCTTGGTACAGACTTCTGCTATGCGCAGTAGGCAGGTATGCTCCCTAGTGGGTGATAGGGAGTCTGTAGTCCTCATCTTCCCACCATAGCTTTCGACATCCTGATTCTCTCTCCATGGACCTGTCAATCCAGTCATGTACCCAAGGAACACACAGGGCCAAATCATGCTCCAGCGGGCCCTCATGTCACCTGTTTAGATAGCGTAGCATTTACCTAGGTGCACAGGGTGAGACAGCAGGCAGTCTTTAAGGATGCTGGGGGCTGTCTCAGAGACACCTGCGACAGCTGGACTTCCTGGCCCTTCAGGACATATCGCCAGGAGCTATTAATTGGTTCTGATGGGCTCCAGGGGTACTCTGCAGGGAAGTGCTGGGCATCTGTTAAAAGGATAGCCTGTGAGCCACACTTGTCTCTGTGCATATGAAACACAGTCTGTCCTTCCTGCTCTCAGAGAACCTTCCCAATGTCAGCATCTGCAGGATGTCATCTGGGGATGACACTCTCAGGTCCCAGTGGGGTGAGGGGCATTGATTTTCATTCCTCAATCCATAAGAACTGGGAGGGCCTTATATCTGGCTCCAAGGCTGGCCTACATGTGGGGGTGGCCCCATGTCTAACCCCTCTCCCGTCCTTGGCTCTACAGCACGAGACCAGGCCTGGTCAGGAGTGGTGGGGGGGCCCACAGGTATGTACGCCTCACCCATCCCAGCCCCTAGGAAGTAATCCTTACGTTCAGAATCACAGCTTTCCAACGGCATCTAGGGCCTTGGATCTCCGAGGTTGGGTTGGGTGGTAGGGGAACTCCTGATCTTTGAGCATCTCAAAAACAAACAAAACAAAACACGAATTCCAACATCAGGGGCAGCTGGACTGACAGGACAGAGCTGTGTGTTGTCACAAACTAAACATTCCCCACCAAAGCCTGCACGGGGAATCAGTCAGCCTAATCGGAGCCTGCTATCACGTGCTCCATGTGGGTCCCAGAGCCAATCAAGTGGCCCCTTTGCTTCAGGGGTTCTGAAAGGCAGCAGTTGCAATTCTTTTGAGTTTTTCTGTCCTTTCCTGGGGTTCCAGATAGGCCAGTGAGGTGCCTGTCCCTGGTGGGTATCTCTCAAGGGGCTTCTGTCTTCAAACCCTAGGTGACCTGAGCCTCTCAAGGGCTATGCCAGCAAAGGCTATCCTAAGAAAAGGCCTGAGAGAATGGGTATCTGTTCGGGGGTGGGGGAGGTGGCACGAAGGCCCAGCCCACTATTATGGAGGCGGACATGTGTCAAGGGCTGAAGGCCAAGTCATCAGCCTAGAGACTTGTGAACCAGGGTAAGTCCTGGGCCAGGGACACCCCTACTCATGGGAAGCCCCTGTGTTCCTCTCAGTCCCTCGTATGCTCTGTGGACAGAAGTCTGGGCTCCCCATATCCTGTCAAACGAATAGAAAACTGTTGTCATGGCCCCTCTCTGCCTGTAGGCCCTGTGCTGTAGGGCCAGGCCCAGGCTGACAGGAGGCTCCAATCTGAGAAACCTGAGGTGAAGAGGCTCTGGGTGCCATGCAGGACTCTGGACAGAAAGAGGGCCTGCGGCTTGCCCTGGCAAAGACACTGCACAAGGCCTGTGGGCATAGGCTGAGAGGACACCCCTGCCAGGCTGTCCATTCTGGGGAGCCTGGGTTGGTTTCCGGTTCTGTTCCAGACAGCACCCGGCATCCTATATTAGAGCTGCCGAGAGGAACTGCCCTCTGGCGCTGCCCACGTGGCTCAGCTGGAACAGCAGTGGCTGGTACTCTGTTCCTGCTTAGAGGCTGGAAAGGGTCTCCAGCTTCCGACAGGCCGCGGCCTCAGATCAGCTCTCTATCCCAGCACCTTTAATCCAGCAGCTGTTTCCTTTCCTTAGACCACAGCAATGGCCTGTCCAGCAAGCGGCAGATGGTGTTTGGGGTCGTCACTGCCATTGACCTGCTAAACTTCGTGGCAGCCCGTGAACAGAACCAGAAATAGAACCCGAAAGTTGGGACTGGCTTCCATCCTCCCTGCTGGGACCTCTTGGCTTTAGAGACACCGACTAGTCATGCCCAAGTGCAACAGGCAGCACAAACAGGTGGCTGTTTAGACCAGCTGCAGAGGTCCAGCCTCCCTGCTAACATTCACCTTCTTAACTGAATCCCGAGCCTGAGTACCTTACGTGGGTGTCCTCTGGTGTCACAGAAGAACTGAGGGGTGTCAGCCGTGCAACTGTGACAAGCCTGAGGGGGCCAGCAAGTGTCCTCCATAGAGAAGGGTCTAGCATGGGGAAGGGCAAACCCTGGACCGACTTTGTGTCCATCATCAGGGGCGGTGTTGTTCTCAGCATGGGAGCACGTGGGTTTTAATGATGGTGTAGTTCCTGTGACCCGAGACCCACAGCTTTGAACAGAGTGCCCACGGTGTCACCACTTAGGCCATGCCTCCTGTCAAGCAGCTCTGGCTCACCCTCCCATGCACCCCTGACAAGTACTTACCCCACTTTCTGTCTCGATGGGTTTCCCTGTCCTGGGCACTTCCTATTAAATGGACTCACACACCCGTGGCCCCGTGTCTCATGGTTTCGTGTTGCGACCAATGTCTGAGTTGCATTCCTCTTCATGGCTGAGCAACGGTCCATTGTGTAAGTGGTTCTTGCTTTGTTCTGTTCACCCATGCACAAGTATGTGTTGTTTTCACCTCTTGGATGTTGTGAGGGTCTGTGCACATGTCTGCTCAAACACGTTTTTCCTAGGATGGATCCTGGATTTGGGCTCGCTGCAATCCTGTGTTCCATTTGTTGCAGTGGGCTGCACTAGTTCACATTCTCGCCTGTGCGTTCCTGAGCAGCTTTCTCAGCATCCTCCCCAACCCTGGACATCTTTCACTCTTTTTTTTTTTTTAAAGATTTATTTATTTATTTTTATTATGTATACAACCTTCTGCCTCCATATATGCCTGTGTTCCAGAAGAGGGCGCCAGATCTCGTTACAGATGGTTGTGAGCCATGTGGTTGCTGGGAATTGAACTCAGGACCTCTGGAAGAGCAGCCTGTGCTCTTAACCACTGAGCCATCTCCAGCCCCATCTTTCACTCTTTGTGATTCAGATTTGCCTCCCAGCAACTACAGCTATCCCACCTGCTCCACCCATGTTTAAGTTGTGCTGTCTTTTTCTTTGCTTCTAGGGAGGGATTTTGCTTTGGTGTGGGGTTCAGGGTCTCACTCACTATGTAGCCCAGGCTGGCCTCAAACTCATGAGTGTGAGGATGGAAGTGTGTGCCACTCTCCCGCTTATCTTTACTTAGTTTCGCTTTTGTCTATCCTCGCCGGGTGTGTCCTCCCCAGTGCCACATGTAAGACATGAAAACCCATCTTTGCTTCTAGGAGTTGGATTCACTGCTTAAAAGAAAAATTCATCTATTTATTTTACATCCCAGCCGCAGTCTCCCCATCTTCCCCTCCCAGTCCCTCTCCTCCATCCCCCCTCCCACCCCACAATTGACCCCCTCCATTCAAGAAATGGTATATCTCCAATGAGTATCAATAAAACATGGCATATTGAAGTTGCAGTAAGACGAAGCACCTCCCCACGTGTTAAGGCCAAGGCTCTTAACTCTGAGCCATTACTCCAGGTCCCCTCTGGAACAGCCAGGGCTCTTAACTCTGAGCCATCACTCCAGCTCCCATATATAAACATTTTAAACAGTACCCAGGCCAGCAGATGAATCAGCAGGTGAAGGCACTGGCTGCTAAGCCTGATGACCTGAGTTCCATTCCTAGAACCCGAGTGGCAGAAGAGAACTGATTCCCAAAACATTTTCTTCTGACTGCAGCAAAAAAGGGTGGGGGATAAGTGTCCATCCTCAGAGGAAGGTAAGCAGGGTTGGAGCTGAGAGCTGGTATAGGGAGTGAGTGAGCACACGGGCATGTGAAAGATGAAGTGGAAAGGGTAAACTGGAAAACAGGTATATGGATATGAAGAAGAGGGCACGCACAGACACCGAGCCCACAGTGACAAGGCCAGTTGGAGATCCAAAGGGTGCACCGCAGAAGCAGGACACTAGCCGCCACCACATGTAGGGGTCAGCTGCTGCACACAGCTAGCCCTGCAGGAACAGGAGTGCATGCAGGCTTCACATGGGTCCCAGTCATGTGTAGCTGGGTCTAATGGCTTAAGGGGTGACCTGGGTCTCAGGACCTAGCTGGTCAGATCCATTTCCTGTGTCTCCATTTCCTATGCCCCCATTCCAGTCCTGCCAAAGGCAGGGAAGAAACTAAAAGCCATTACTGCCATTAAAGCTGTCCTTTACAGAGACTGAAGCTATAGCTCAGTGGTTAAGAGCACTCGCTCTTCTTTAGGACCATTATCAGCAGCTACACGGTTATCACATAACCATCTGTAACAACAGTTCCAGGGCATTCAAGGCCCTCTTCTGGCCTCTGTGGGCATCAGGCCATACATGCAGGCAAAACACCCATACACAAAAAAATAATAAAAACTGTGCAAGTATGATGGTATGAAAGAATTCCTAATTTGTATTAACACTCTTGCTGTTTTTACATGGCCAAGTCTTGGGTTCAAACAACAAGACCCCGAATGGCATCACTGGCATAGGTAATGGCTCTAAATGCTGCTTACCTATGAAGTACTCACCAGATGATCCCTTGAGCTCGGGCCACATCCAGATGATCCCTTGAGCTCGGGCCACATTGGCCTTCCAGAACATCGAAGGCCAGGCAAGAGACTGGGAAGGAAGAGTATAATAGGGCCCTTAGCACAACTGACTCCATGATGGAAGTACTGTTTAGGCCATAAAACTCCGCAGGTATAGTAGCACTACCTGCCAAAATGAAAACAAAAACCTAATCCATCAAAGTCCATAGTTCTGAGAAAGTCTTTAAATATACTAACCTTGCTTTTTGGCTTCTGCATTTCCATTTCTGGCTAACTGTTCTTGTTAACTGAAGTATGTCAACCCAGAACATGGTTTTTGTGTTTAAAAGCTCATCCTGAGAAAGGCTCAGAGCTACAATGGGATCCCGGGCACCCAGTGGAGTCCACCAGGCCAGCTAGTAGACTTCCTGTTGGTGTAAGCCCATGTCCAAGCATCTTCTCTGGGCCCCCTGCAGAGAGCACACTGTTGGCCTATGGGGTCTCACCAGGCAGGCATACTCAGATGCCACAGCTGTGGGGGTCTTTAGGTTTGTTGTTGGACTTGTAATTCTCCTGCTTCAGCATCCTAAATACTGGGATTATCAGCACAAGTCACCATACTTGGCAACATTTAGGTCTGAAGAATGGAAGGGAAATATTGGATCTAGTGAAGGCTGAAGAGCTAATCGTACAAGGATAAAAACTGTGCACTAAGGCTCCCTCTCTGACTCCATTGAAAGGCTTGTGGGCTAAACATTGTATAAATCACAAAAAGCAAAAGCCCTACGCTTTTAATTCAAATACACCACCCATCCACAATTATTTTGCTAGGCTTGTCTCTGTTTACACAGGTATGTTGAATCTGTAAGTCATCAATACTTCCCAAGATACTGGCCACCCAGAGTTCCAATTTTAATGTTATTTTTGTCTTTTTAGACAAGGTCTCTCCTATCTCAAACTTCCAATACAGCTCAATTTGAGCTTGAACTTCTGATTTTCTGACCTTCCACTCCCAACTTCCAGGATTATGGGGTGCTAGGCATTGAATTCAGGGTTCTGTTCAGGTGCTCTACCATCTGAGCTCCACCCCCAGCCCTTAGACACACTTCTGAAGAAAAAGCCTTTGGTCCACGCCTCCAAGCACAAGCTGTACCTACAACTCCTAGACAATTTCCTGTGCACCTTGGACACAACCAGGATCCGCCTCACAAGGATTTTACAGTGTGGACCAGCAGAGGACATGCCCAGGATCCGCCTCACAAGGGGTTTTACAGTGTGGACCAGCAGAGGGCACTGCACCCACGAGTCATTCTTTTCTTGTTACACCAAAGTAATTCAATTTATGAAAAAAAAAAATGAAAACTATTTTGCAAGTTTTTCCTGAAAAATGACGAACCGAAGCCCAGACCCTTGAGGGTGCAAATAAAGCTAAACAGTTAGCGCAATGTCAGCTTGTCCCTAGGAACTCTGGTGTCACCACAAGATGTGTGACAGTCTGCAAGTCTCAGTGTGAAAAAGCAGCTTGGTGGCACAAGGTTTACAGAATCAATCATCCACAAGGCATGTTTTTGTTTTTAATTTTTTCTTTGATAAATCAATTGCTTCACAAAAATCCTTTTAAAGACAACAATCCGAGAAAACATATCGTTACAGTATTCACATTTTAAAGATTGTCAGTTTCAAAGACCGAACTTAACTGAAGAAGGCAGACTGCTGAGTTCTGTGGCCACCTGCGGGAGAAGTCCTCAGGATGGGTATTCCCTGCAGTGTGCGGGAGCTATGCAGAGGGGAGCATGTTGCCAACTGCCCGCACAGGTGCGCCGGCCACTCAGCAGGCTACACAGTGTCCCATCAGCCTTAGGCGGAAAGGTCACAGTGCATATTGCATATACACTTCTATTTGACAATCTGGACTCAAAAGGGAGAAAACTGAAGCCACCAGATGGGTGCTCAGCCAGTCTGGATTTCTGCTAGGCAGCCAAACAGCAGGAATGACACAGGTTGACTCAGAACACATTCGAAAGGCTCCAATGTCAGGGAGGACTTTAATAGGAATGGAAGCTGGAATCTGACCGTTTAAACAAAGACCAAAGGAGATGGACTTCCAGATTTTCTCCACAGGCCAAGGAAAGGAGAGCAGAAGTTATGCTTGGGCTCTTGAGACAGGGTTTCAAAATGCACCAGACTGATCTAAGCCTTGCAGTAATCCTCCTGCTTCTGCCTCCTAAGTGCTTGTATTCCAGGTACATGCCACAATGCCCAGTAAGCAGGTGTCTTGAAGGTGCAACTGACAGACAAGAAATGTGCTGGGCAGCAATTCTATGAACAGCTTGCCTCATGGGAGTTACTTAGAGGCATCTCAGTATGCATGGGAGGTAGACAGAAACTCAGGCTATGACCCTGTGCCAGCTCTTTTACAATCTTTTTTTAGAGTCAGGTTATGTAGGCCAGGCTTACCTCCTGTCTCGAGTTCTGAGATTTGGGATTCCAGGAGTGTGCCACTACACCCAGGTTTTCTCAAGATCTTCATGTTATCCCTCTGAATTTAGCAGCTGAGAGTTCAGGGCTTAAGAAAGCTGATTCAACTGGAAAGGACACACTGGATCACGGTGTTCAAATCCCAGCTAGCCACCAGCTGGCATGCAAGCCAGACAGCAGGGACTAGGCTTCCTTTAGAGAGAGTGCAGACCTCTGCAGGAGCTCACAGGGGCGATGCATTTCTGCTTTAAACCCAATACTGACAGTCTATCAGGCTTTTATATACATGACTTAAAACATTAAAGTAATTTGAGAATAAGTAATGGAAAGGCTGCTTAACACATTATTCTCTCCTCAGAAAAGTTGCTGGCAAGATTTTTGGTTTTGTTTATTTTGTTGTTCTGGTTTTGTAGTGCAGGCTCCTTCA